ATGCATGGGGCAAATTATAGAAAAATACAGACACAATGGGGCAAGTCGTATAAAACTACAGGCACAATGCATGGGGCAAATTATAGAAAAATACAGACACAATGGGGCAAGTCGTATAAAACTACAAGCACAATGCATGGGGCAAATTATAGAAAAATACAGACACAATGGGGCAAGTCGTATAAAACTATAGGCACAATGCATGGGGCAAATTATAGAAAAACAGACACAATGGGGCAAGTCGTATAAAACTATAGGCACAATGCATGGGGCAAATTATAGAAAAATACAGACACAATGGGGCAAGTCGTATAAAACTACAGGCACAATGCATGGGGGCAAATTATAGAAAAATACAGACACAATGGGGCAAGTCGTATAAAACTATAGGCACAATGCATGGGGCAAATTATAGAAAATACAGACACAATGGAGCAAGTCGTATAAAACTACAGGCACAATGCATGGGGCAAATTATAGAAAAACACAGACACAATGGGGCAAGTCGTATAAAACTATAGGCACAATGCATGGGGCAAATTATAGAAAACACAGACACAATGGGGCAAGTCATAAAACTATAGGCACAATGCATGGGGCAAATTATAGAAAACACAGACACAATGGGGCAAGTCATATAAAACTATAGGCACAATGCATGGGGCAAATTATAGAAAAGTACAGACACAGCAAGTCGTATAAAACTATAGGCACAATGCATGGGGCAAATTATAGAAAAACACAGACACAATGGGGCAAGTCGTATAAAACTATAGGCACAATGCATGGGGCAAATTATAGAAAAACACAGACACAATGGGGCAAGTCATATAAAACTATAGGCACAATGCATGGGGCAAATTATAGAAAAGTACAGACACAATGGGGCAAGTCGTATAAAACTATAGGCACAATGCATGGGGCAAATTATAGAAAAACACAGACACAATGGGACAAGTCGTATAAAACTATAGGCACAATGCATGGGGCAAATTATAGAAAAATACAGACACAATGGGCAAGTCGTATAAAACTATAGGCACAATGCATGGGGCAAATTATAGAAAAATACAGACACAATGGGGCAAGTCGTATAAAACTATAGGCACAATGCATGGGGCAAATTATAGAAAAACACAGACACAATGGGGCAATTATATAGAAAAATATGGTAAGTCATACAAAAACATAAACACAATGCTTGGAACAAATCATATAAAATATAGCAACAATGCATGGAGCAAGTTATACAAAAACACAGGCACAATGCATGGAGAAAATTATACAAAAACACAGGCACAATGCATGGAGCAAGTTATACAAAAACACAGGCACAATGCATGGAGCAAGTTATACAAAAACACAGGCACTATGCATGGGAATTTATCTTAAAAAAAACATAGATATAATGCAGAGAGGAAATTATAGAAAACATAGACACAATGCTTTAAGCAAGTCATAGAAAACCATAAGCACAACACAATAAGCCATACAAAACAATGGGGCAAATCATTTAAAATACAGGCACAAAATTCATGGAGCTAATTATGCTAAAATCCAAGATACAATGTATAGAGCGTATTATAAACAAATAACAGAGAGTAACTGTATTGGAAAAAATTATACAAAAAATCCATGAGTTTAATGATGTTAAAGGCAGTGATGCAATATATGGGGTAATTTATACAAAGCAGAGACGTGTTACATAGGGTAAATGATTCCGATCAAGAATACAGTGCTTGTCGCAAATTATAAAAAAAAAACAAGGGACGGGGCACATTATACAAGATAATAGAAAATAATGCTTGGGGAGCATCATTCAAAAACATGAACAATGAATGGGATTCATTATCCTAAATCTGGGCCATAATTATTTAGGCAAATAATGCTAGACTAGGGAAAACCATCTTCGAAACAGGAACATAATGCAAAGGGTGAGATACACAAGAGCTAGAACAGTATGTCTGGGGTCAAAGTTTAAAAATATCAGGAACATGATGAATGGGGTAGATCATAAAAAGTAGACCCGATGGATGGGGTAATTATTTTAAAAATATTTACATGATAGCTGTGAGCAAAGATGGCAATATAGGGACACAACACTCCTACCCATTAGGCAAATCATACAAAACTAAATGCCTCATGGCATGGAAATAATTATAACAAAGCAGGGGGCAGATCATACAACAGAGGCAATAAATTATTCCATGGACTTTACTTGTGACTTCTGTAGTGAAACTGTTTTCAAAACGTTTCCAACCGATTTGACATTCTCATCGGAAATGATAAAATTCAAGTCTAAAACAAGTATTTAATGAACAGAATCAAATCTTCGTTAACAAATGGACACAATACATATGGGCCATAGCATATAATACCCCTATATATAGTATGATGCTAACATTAATTGTAAAAATTGGGATTTTACTATTAGGGAAAAGGGACACTTGTTCTGAGAGAAGTCTGCAAGTGCCCTGTTAACATATAAAATGATCCTGATATTACTTCAATATTCTGCATCAATTACAGAGACTAACAGGGTTATTCACTAAAGCGAGAATTCAAAGGGAATTTTAAATCCAAGTCCACAGTAGTTGAACTGAAAGCATCGATAACTTCGAGAATTTTTCCAGTTTCGCTATTGTGACCTGAAATGTAACCCTCACTTAGAATTCTCACTTGAATATCCCTGCAAATTACATCTCGAACAATTTCTATTATTTTAATATGCATTGACTTGCAGGTAATATTTTAAAATACAAGGACTCTATCATACAAAATTACAGCTGCAGTTACATTTGTATCTCTGCATTGCGTTCATTGATCAGCTAACAGATGTGTAGGTGATGAGTTTCCTACCATATTGTACATACATATAAACTGACATGTAGAATGTTGTTTTGTACAGTATTGGCCATTGCAGTAGTGTTGTCTGCCGCACTGACAGCTGTGATGTGAATGTGTTTCAAAAACCCTTTCAGTTATTTAGTGCTACAGCTCAAGAATCTCAATTTTGCATAAAACAAAACCAATAATCTGTATATTGCAGAAAATGTTGGCACTGTAGATAATGATCAATGTGACTTGTCAGCTACCTGGCTGGAACAATTTTTAGATGACTATATTATCTGCATCAATGGTACTGCCTTACCACAGAGACATTATTTCCTTTAGTCATTTTAGAGAAACACTCCAAACATAGCATGAAGCACAGCCAATCTTTGCTATATTACCTAAATAGCACATAGGAAGCACAAAGTACTGTCCTTGTGTATCAGTTGTAGGTCCAAACAATGCTGGAACCTACTGATGGAAGTCTGGGCTGGCATTCATTACTGTTTGGATCTTGACAATCAGGGGCTTTCTGAAGAAATTATTGTACCTATATAGTTTACATAAAAGATCTAGGCAGCTTTGGGCACAATGTGAAATAAAAACCGAAAATATTTAGAAATTAAAAAAAACAAACTGTTTAATTAAAAAGTTGTTAAAACCATAAAAAATATTTTGTTTTGGGGTAAATACACTTATTTGTATTTTATTGTTTTTTTTTCTATTATATCTAAATTATTTTCTAATTTGAAAAACCATTGTAGAGCTTTCTGTTTAATCCTTGATTTATTAATATATTTTATTTATTTAGGATTATGAAAACTAAAAACTTTAATGTTTCCATCCTATATTGGCCAGTTATTTAATTGCATTACCTTTTGATCCATAAACATTTACTGTGCATTATTAACAAACCATCTGTATTTTTAATCATCATCTACTGAGCTTTGTGACAATTTCAGTCATCCACCAACGTGGTGTGACACCGATAACAAACACTGCAGCAGGCAAGGAACAGGACACTATTATTGCTGCAGATATTTAGCTGTAAACTTAGCCCATTATGTTCTCCGCACAGGATTTCCCTTCATAAGGGTTGGGAAACGTGCCTCTCTCTCACCAGCTAATTGTGCTGAAGAGATTCCTGATTGCTTTGGCAGCAATGGTTGTAAAAACCTAGCAGAAGTATTAGAACTCGACCTTAGATGCTGAAAATGCACTCTACAACATAGTAAATGAATGTACTAACTTTAAAGTTTTTATATTGTAATATTTATTTTCAAGGCGTGTTGAATATTATTTGAATCAAATGTGGATTTTCCCCTATCTACAATTCACATTTTGTCTTCCCGGTGCAGTGTATCATATCATTTTACCCTATAAGTTCTGTTTACTGCAGATATCATTTCTGTCGTACTTACCAGAAGGTGAACAACAGATAGCAGATGACGTGTAAGGATGCACATAGTTCTTAAGTGGGTTGTAGCATGCAATTTATTGTAAAACCACATGATTTAATATTTCAGTGAAGTAATACAAAGTTGAATGTAGGATGTGCTTGGCAAACCACTGATCACTACTTATGAAAGTAGGCAAATAATTTGCTGTTGGCGCATCATGTAATACCTACAAAAAAGGAGGAAAGAACACATGCAAGAATTCCAAAAAGTGAAAGAATGTCTAACAGCATTCACTTTAAGGATCTCATATATTATCAGCAACCCTGATTAAACATCTCAGAAAAATAGTAAAATATAGCTTTTAATGTATTAAGTTAAAATAACTATGAAAGTATACTAAATGTTATAATTAAAGTACAAAAATAAGGTAAAGTGATGCCTTGACCGTGCTGCCTATATCAATTAGCAACACCAGTGGTATAGGGGTATAGAGGGTATAGATGTTACAAAAAGGAAATTATTAACAATAAATCTAACAAGGAGGTCTAATGATGATTGTCATATGAATATCCCCGAACTCCCATCACCCTTGCCCACTCTGTTAGTACACTCTCATTCCCCTCAGTAGTTTGTCAAGAGCCGATCAATCCGCCCGGCTATCTGACTAAGCTTGATAAAATAATAAAGCTGGGTGGCTATCACGGAGGAAAATTTGAATCTAAAACTAAAGGCTGCAGCTAAGTCCCCTGTCAACCTCCTCCACCCTGGTGCTATCAAAAAATCCCGATGCGCGTTTCGCCGACTAGCGGCTCTTCCAAGGGAAATCCAAGGGAAGAGCCGCTAGTCGGCGAAACGCGCATCGGGATTTTTTGATAGCACCAGGGTGGTGGAGGTTGACAGGGGACTTAGCTGCAGCCTTTAGTTTTAGATTCAAATTTTCCTCCGTGATAGCCACCCAGCTTTATTATTTTATCAAGCTTAGTCAGGTAGCCGGGCGGATTGATCGGCTCTTGACAAACTACTGAGGGGAATGAGAGTGTGCTAACTGAGTGGGCAAGGGTGATGGGAGTTCGGGGATATTCATCTGACAATCATTATTAGACCTCCTTGTTAGATTTATTGTTAATAATTTCCTTTTTGTAACATCTATACCCTCTATACCCTTATGCCACTGGTGTTGCTAATTGATATAGGCAGCACGGTCAAGGCATCACTTTCCCTTATTTTTCTACTTTAATTATAACATTTAGTATACTTTCATAGTTATTTTAACTTAATACATTAAAAGTTATATTTTACTATTTTTCTGAGACGATTAATTAGGGTTGCTGATAATATATACGATCCTTAAAGTGAATGCTGTTAGACATTCTTTCACTTTTTGGAATTCTTGTATGTGTTCTTTCCTCCTTTTTTGTAGTTATTTAAGTGTAATGGTTACCCCCCCATTAAAACTTAGCAACCCAATATACTCTCTCTACTTTCCTGTCTCTCCATTTTTGCATCATGTAATACCCAATAGGTACAGTTAGTGAGGAATTCCAAGGGTAGAGGGTGGTAGTACAGAGACACTGTTAATAGAAGCAATTCGCAGAAATTGAGAAAGTAGACTTTTTGTCTCAAATTCCGATTATATCATTTATATTGTAAACTTATGGCCATCTAACCAAGCACTTTGTACAAAAAAAGCTTAAAAGCTTAGATCTTAGCCTCTTTAACTTTTTATATTGGTCTGTGCATGTTGTACATTCTCTCTGCTTGTACAACTGTAGAATATGTTGACACTTAATAAATACCTGTAATAAAAAAATAAAAATAAAATAGACATGTAAATTCATTTTTAAACAACTCAGTTCACCTAACAACAAATTGATTTGTCCAAAACAAAAATCTTTCAATTAGTTTTATTGTATATTGTATGATAAATGCTTTTTCTTTCTTTGCCTTTTTTCACCTTTACCTTTTATATTGGTCTGTGTATATTGTATATTCTTCCCTAATTGTAAAGCACTTTTATAAATGCCAGTAATAAAGAAAGAAAATTAAAATAGGCACACACTTTCGGATCAGTTCACCTAACAACAAATTAATTATTTCAAAACAAAAACCTTTCAATTAGTTTTAATGAATGAAACATTTTTGCTATTTTGTGATTCGAATTTAGAATTCCCAGCTATTTCACATGTTCTCCAAACAAATCAATTGATCTAAAAACATATAAAATATAAAGGGATTTACTGTAAGCATCGATTCATCTTCAAAGAAATTGATTCGCTTAAAGGCTAATGCGACAAACGCCCATGTCTATGAGAAAATAATAGAATGGATTCTTAATATGTATGAATTCATTACATTTAAATTTTAAATTTGCTTTATTATTATTATTTTATTATTTATATAGCGCCATCACATTCCGTAGCGCTGTACAGTGTGTGGACTAACAGACATGTAATTTTAACCAGACAATTGGATGTACAGGAACAGAAAGGGGAAGGGCCCTGCTCAATGAGCTTACATTCTAGAGGGAGTGGGGTATAGTGAAACAAAGGGTAAAATTAGGGGTACGAAGTAGGTTGTTAGAAAAGTTTTCATTGAAGGCTTAGTAGGTAATTTTTGACAGTTGCAGGAGAGGAGTCATGGGGGATGGGGGATAAAAGCCTGCTAACAGTTTAAATGATATGCTTTCTTGAAGAAGTGAGTTTTCAATGATTTTTTGAATGAGTGGAGACTGGGTGAAAGTCTTACGGGGAAGGGAGTTCAACAGAAGAGGTGCAGTCCTGGAGAAGTCTTGGATGCGAGCATCAGAGGTGGGCGTACGGACAGAGGATATACGTAGGTCTTTGGCAGAGCGTAGGGGCCTCGAAGGGACATACTTGTGTATTAGGGAGGATAGGAAGGTTGGAGCAGCATTATGTAGATTTTTTCACCCTAAGAATTTGCATTTCTATGTAACATATTGCAAACGCTTTTTGTCAGTGATGTTTTATATTGTAGTTAGAAATGCATTTTAGAGCAACTGTATGCTATTCTTTTTCCAAAAGTCAACTCGAGTAATGCATATCTCCTGCACTGAATACAGTGTTCAAATGTTCCTATGGGCTCCTGTGAGTGAATTATCATGCTCTTTTGGAAAGATGACTATGGTCATAAAGTGGACACACACAGGGCCGGACTGGGAAAAAAATTAGGCCCGGGCATTTTTCAATCAGAGCGGCCCCCTAAGAAGGGGGCGGGGCCAGAGAGGGTGTGTTTTGTCATCACTAATGACAACACGCCCCCTCTCAAAGTGAGCATGTTGGTTCAATGCCCAGAGCCCTGCTGAAGAGCTCTGGCATTAGAAAAAGGCCCTGAATTTGTTCTGCCCAGCGCAAGCAAATGTATTAACATGCTTGCACTGTGTTTGCTTTTAAATTGTCTCTGGTGTCTCCACAAGTGGGATACCAGAGGACAAATGGAAAGTGCATGGTGCATATGTTTGGAGCCTGCTTGTGGGATTGCGTGTGTGTAGAGTGTAAATAGGTCAATTTAATTTGTGTTTGTGGTGTAATATGTGTGGCTAGGGGCTGTAGAGAGTGTGTGCATACGGGCTGAAGTGTGTGTGTATAGGTGACGTAGTGTGTGTAGGGGTTGCAGAGAGGGTGTGTTTAGAGAATGTTGTATGTGTTTGCTGACAAGGAATGTAGTGTGTGTGTGTAGGAGATCTACTGTGTAAAGGACCCAGTGTGTGTGTGTGTGTGTGTGTGTGTAGAGGATTAAGAGTGCATATAGGGTAAGGGATCTAGTGTGTATCTGGAGCGTAATGTGTGTGAGGGGTGCTGTAGTGTGTGTGTGTGTGTGTGTGTGTATGTATATATATATATATATATATATATATATATATATATATATATATATATATTTGGGCTTATTGTATGTGTGAGGGGCGCAGTGTGTGTATGTAAGAGGGTTGCTGTATGTGAGGGTGTTTTTATCTGCTGTCACATTCTAGGTTTCTAATTTTCTTTGTCTGTTAACTCACTGAGGGTTATTTTATATATATATATATGTGTGTGCTGTATATGTGTGGGAGTGTGCTGTGTGTGTCTGGGGGGTGCTGTGTGTGTCTGGGTACGCTGTGTGAGTCTGGGTGCGCTGTGTGTGTCTGGGTGCGCTGTGTGTGTCTGGGTGCGCTGTGTGAGTCTGGGTGCGCTGTGTGTGTCTGGGGGTGCTGTGTGTGTCTGTGGCTGCAGTGTGTGTCTGGGTGCAGTGTGTGTCTGTGGGTGCAGTGTGTGTCTGGGTGCAGTGTGTGTCTGGGTGCAGTGTGTGTCTGGGTGCGCTGTGTGTCTGGGTGCTGTGTGTGTCTGCGCGCTGTGTGTCAGCGGTGTGCGCTGTGGGCGCAGTGTGTGTCTGCGCGCCGTGTGTGTCTGGGCGCTGTGTGTCTGCGCGCTTGTGTGTGTGTCTGTGGCGCAGTGTGTGTCTGTGGGTGCAGTGTGTGTCCAGGTGCAGTGTGTGTCTGGGCGCGCTTGTGTGTCTGGGTGCTGCTGTGTGTGTCTGGGTGCTGTGCGTGTCTGGGTGCTGTGTGTGTCTAGGGGGTGCTGTGTCTGGGGGGTGCGCTGTGTGTCTGGGTGCGCTGTGTGAGTCTGGGTGCGCTGTGTGTGTCTGGGTGCGCTGTGTGTGTCTGTGGGTGCAGTGTGTGTCTGTGGGTGCAGTGTGTGTCTGTGGGTGCAGTGTGTCTGTGGGTGCAGTGTGTGTCTGGGTGTGCAGTGTGTGTCTGGGTGCAGTGTGTGTCTGGGTGCGCTGTGTGTGTCTGGGTGCAGTGTGCGTCTGTGGGTGCAGTGTGTGTCTGCGCTACTGTGTGTGTCTGGGTGCGCCGTGTGTCTGTGGGTGCAGTGTGTGTCTGGGTGCTGTGTGTGTCTGGGGGTGCTGTGTGTGTCTGGGTGCAGTGTGTGTCTGTGGGTGCAGTGTGTGTCTGTGGGTGCAGTGTGTGTCTGTGGGTGCAGTGTGTGTCTGGGTGCGCTGTGTGTGTCTGGGTGCGCTGTGTGTGTCTGGGTGCGCTGTGTGTGTCTGGGGGTGCTGTGTGTGTCTGGGGGCTGTGTCGGGGGGTGCTCTGTGTGTCTGGGGGGGGGTGCTGTGTCTGGGGGCTGTGTGTTTGTGAGTGAATGTATTTTTTTATTTAAATTTAAATATTTTTTTTTTACTAATAAAAAAAAATAATAATAATAATATTTCCCCCCCTCCCTTCTTCTCTACCTTTATCCTGGGAGGGTGGAGGAGATCCGTTCTGCCATCCATCCCTGGTGGCCCAGTGGTGAGAGTGAACTCTAACCTGCGGGTTAGAGTTCACTCTCGCGAGATCTGAGCGTTGCCGCGGCAACGGTAACCGCGGCAACGCTCATAATCCCGCGAGAGGACCCGGCGGAGCTGCTTGTTAGAGCTCCGCCGGGTCCTCTCTCCTCCCTCCATGCCTCTGGGCCGGTGAGGGAGATCTTTGATCTCCCTACCGGCCCATGGAGGCACACAGCAGGGCCGGCGCTCGGGTAGCGCTGGCCCTGCACGGGCTGGCAGGGGAGATTCTGTGATCTCCCTGCCGGCCTCGGCCCCACGGCCATCGCGGCCCACCGGGCATTTGCCCGGTGTGCCCGATGGCCAGTCCGGGCCTGGACACACAATATGCTGGGGTCTAATACATCATTCAGTATTAGCATAATCATTGTACAGGCTGCTCCTCCTATACAATTTAACAAATAGATATGTTGAAATCAGACATTAGTAAAGTAAAGTAGTAATAAAAGTTCATAGATAAAATTTTAACAAAAAAGGTGCATATTCAGAAAAGTAGGATTTGGTGAGAGAATATAAATTTCAGAAGTCTCTCTGAGACTTGTACTAGGTATTGTT